GACTATCACTGTGGATTTTATCTTTTTGCTGAACAAAAGCTATTCTCTCCATGAAAGCCTTAATTAAAAGACATCCCCAAACAGATTGGACCTTTGAGGGCCTGGGTTCCATATGGAAAGCACTACATCCTGACTACTAAAAGTCATCGTGAGTTGTGCCAAGCACTCAGGGACACCATATGATTTTGCTGATGTCTGGTTAAGCAACCACAAATTATACATAGTTGGAACTAACAGCTGATTTCAAAATGCTGTTTTCAATCATCCGAAAAGCCCAGGAGCTCCCTCTGTGGTGGTGATGTTTTTCTTTAGCAGTAAAGTCCAGCAGCAGTACAAAGAACTCCTTCCGCTTCCTTCAGTTAGGACAAAATCCTGGCCCCAGTGGAAAAACTGTAGTGGAAGTGACTTCACTTTGGCTCTTTATCCTGCTGTGGGAATCACTAGTCAGGACCCCTGCACCTTTTCAGAGTACTATGGGCAGGAGCACCCAGATCCACATGCTAGTGGATCGCAGGGCAGGACCAGGGCTCTACTACTGGAGTTGTTCTAATCAAATCCCACAGGAAAGTCTCTAAATCTAGGCCGATTGATACCAACTGAGCATCTGGCCATTAGTGCCTCTGACACTTGAGCTCTTAGCTGAAATCTCTAAATGTCCTGTCTGCAGCATGTATACAATGGCCATTTTAATTTACTTTCTGTAGAAATTCATTTAAAAAACTAATCGAAATGTAATGTCAAAACCCAGGGAGCATCTGTTGAAAGTAGGGTGACCAGACGTCCCGATATTTCGGTGTCTGTCCTGGTCAGGATGCATTTTGTATCCGCCGGCAGCACTTGCTCTCCCGGCGGGCACGCCCCCGCCCCCCTCACCCCGCCATGTGTCCCGATATTTTCTTCCCCTCGTCTGGTCACCCTAGTTGAAAGCCAAGAGTTCACTAGTTCTGTTTTGGAGAGGGCATACTTTAAGCAGCTTCAGTCAAGTCATGTAGTAAATGTCCATGCCCTGAAGCAGGTTATTTCTGTTTTTCTGTAGGTTTGAAGCATCATGTTGATCTTTATTTTACAAGTTTAATTTTGTTACTTACTGATGGTGTATTAATTCGTTAATGTTTGTCAAGTATCATTATTATTTATTTAATTCTTTTCTTTTCTTTTTTTTAGGTCTGAAAGGTTTTTATTTGGTGATGGCATGTTCAAGAACTTGGATCAATACATTGTATTTAATGTTAGGAGATGTTTCTAAGTTTTCATATTTATAAAAGTGACTTTCAATCTAGAGCGTCCCAGTGTGCTTTCAAACTGTCTCTACATATTCACAACACTGCACAGATGCACAACAAATGCAGCCACCTCTGGGGTGGGAGGGCAACCAGGAACTACCATGTTGACCTATAGGGGGGCTTTTGGTCAAGGACCCAGGGGCAAACTTGAGTCTTGCCAGTTGTGCCATGCGATGTGTTAACAGCCATGCAGAGCAGACAGGACCTCTTTTATTTTACCATCTCATCCCAAAAACAGACACACAGTAAATGGACTGGTTCATAGTTTATCTGTCTCAGAAACAGGAAGAGCCGAGTCACCTCTGCCCTGCACCAGTTTAGTATGAGCTCCAGGTTTAGCGAAAGCTCCAGTATGATTTAAGTGAAATTAAACAAAAGAGAAGCTTATGCTCCACCTTACAAGCCCAGGCCAGTTTGGGATGTGTAGGGGCTCTATACTCACTCACAGCAGTAAAGTCAGCCACTAGAAACTTTGGGTGGAATTCCAGCCCTGTGGAAGTCAATGGGAGTTTTGCCATTGATTTCAGTAGGGCAGGATTTCATGCCTCCAGTCCACAAGCTTTTAAGCATGTTGCACTTTAACCTCACGTTTAAGACCATCCCTATTCAGCAAAGCACTGAGGGTATGTCTGCACTGCAGTCTTGGGGCGTGACTGCAGTTTGTGTAGACATACCCAAGCTAGCTTTAATTTAGGTACTAGATCAGTGAACCCACGGTAGCACGAGCTTTATAAGCCTGCCTGGAACCCTGGCTAATTACTCTGGCAGCTAGCAGAAGCCCACACCACGCTTTGATTCTCCTAGCTGCACTTCCGTGTCGCTCGGGTGTGCCTGCGCGAGCTGCAGTCACACTTGATAATTGCAGTGTAGACGTACCCTTAATCACGTGCTTAACAGCTTTGCTGGGACAGGGCCAGAATCGGCCCGATAGTTTTCACGTGCAGAGTAATTTCTGGTGTAATGCTGAATCCCTACCACATTGCAAGTGGAAATTATGTGAGCACAGGTGGGAAAATGAACTTCATGAAGGTTGATTTTAGGGTTCCTGCACTGTGATCAAGCGTCGTGTGCCATGATCAGCATCGTTCTGACTGCACGGGATAGATAGGCCTGTGTAGTAAAGATGCGGAGAAAACAGAAAACAAGCCCTGTGTGCATTTATTGTAGGAGTGTGATTCTCCCTCTGTTGGTAGCCTCTCTCCCTCTCCATAGAACTCTTCTTTTTTTTTTAAGCAACTTTTCTTTTAAAAAGCCTATTAAAGGCTACTTTGATATTTGAGTTTTGTTCGGCTGTATATAAGAAATGTATACGGTCTGCTGCCTCATAGCCCCGCCAAGGTGCAAACTGCTGTGAGATTCTGACGGGACAGATTTTCATTGCCGAGCCTTATAAAAAGGACAGCTCAATTAAAAGCAGAAGTTGCAGGTTTGTGTAGGTTTTGGGTGGGTATCTAGGCTGAGGAAGCTTCTGCTGAGATTTCTGAACTTAAAGATAGAGATGACCTCGTATCCCTTTCTGCCAGTGCAGAGTTATTCCACACTGTATCTGTTGGAGGTCTTTGTGTAATCCAGTTTCACAGGTCTCCAGTGATTGGGTTTCTACAACTTCCCTTAGGAGACTAGTCTGTCGTCTAGCTCCCACTTCAGAGTTTTACGTGATGTTAGACACCATTTCCAGTTCCATGATTCATCCCGTTTCTTCTTATATCAATATAAATAATGCCTCTTCTTCGTTAGTGTTGATGGCTTTCAGAGACATGGAAGCTGTTCCCATATTCATGCCCTTAGTGTGGATTCAGCCAAGCTATATGTCATTAAGCTCCAATCCTGCGAACACTTACCTGCATTACTTTCTATGCACGTGCAGTCCCATTGAGCTGTTGAATGGGACTACACATGCGCCTAGTCACTCACATGCATAAGTGTTTGTGGTATCAGCTAGTGAGTCCAGCAATACCCAGGGTCAAGGAAAGAAGAAAGTTATGTTTGAGTTTCCCATGCAGCCGCAGAATGTTTAAATTGTCAGTCCTGAGCGTTTTCAAATGCACAATTGCATTTCTAGTCAGATTGAGTTTGTAAAACCATTTTTTGTTAATAAACCTACATTTTTGGGGCTTAAAGTATTTGTCTGTGATCCTTTGACATGCTTTTGATGGATGTTAAGTGCTGCCAACGAGCTCAGAGCTGCACATGCTGCGGGCTCAGTCTGGTAAGGAGCTGAGCACTCTGACCACAGTTCAGCTTAACCACATACTCCGTTTTAAGCATCTGAGTTCTACTCATGGGTTTAAATTGAGCATGTACTTAGCTGGATTGGACCTTGTAGAACCCTGTCTGTCGAGAGATACTTATGACCCCTATCGCTGCAATATCTGAGCACATCACAAGCATTAATGAACTTATCCTCACATAGCCCTGAACAGTAAAGAAGTACTATTAACCCCATTTTACATATGGGGAATTGAGGCACAGAGAGACTAAGTGACTTGTCCAAGAGCACGCAAGAAGTCGGTGGCAGATTCAAGACTAGAATCCAGGTCTCCTAAGTCCCAGTTCAGTGCCTTAAGCACGAGACAATCCTTCCTTCCTACAGGAAACAAGCACGCAACTCCCATATTGAGAATATTGCAGTATTTTTTGAAGGGTGGCAGACAGTACGATAATTATGGATGAGTACAGTAGGTGGTGTATCTATTAAACTTTACATTATTAAAAGCCTTGATATGGTCCTTACCAGGCGGATTTATTATAGTACAGTAAATCAACACATCAATACCCATTATTTTAGAAGCACTGATGAATTTCAGGCATTTTTGAACAGCGTGGAAGACTCATCCTAATATGTTCTTTCGTGTAGTATATTGTTCATCTTCATTTTCAGAACAGTATTCCTTAAATACAAATGCTCCCGCACTTGATCAAACGGAATAAATGTAATCAGAAAATCAGCCGCTCATGGCGATTCCATGCATATGTTACGTGTCATCTCCCATGAAGGAGAGGCACTTTAAGAAACATCCTCATCCATTTTAGCATGTGATTGGCCAGGTCTTTCTATGTCATTTTGCTCATCTAGGGGTATCATCTCTAAAGAACTGAGGCATTTTGAAGTGAATTACAGGACTGTGAAGATTGCAAGACTGTCTGAATGGCTTACCTTGGAAATGGTATTTCTTGAAGATTACTTTAGATACTGAGTAGCTGCACGCTGTGTACGTACCCCCAATAAATAATCTACCTGGCTGGTGACATTCTTTAAACAAAAATTCAGATACTTGGGCTGGGCTAGTTTAATTTAAAATGTTTGGCTTATTTTTTTTTTTTTACACTTGTCCTTATTTTTAAGTAAAGTTTTTTGGCCCTTTGGGTATTACATGCTTTTATAATCTTTCCATAATTACGTTTACAAATCTGCTTTTGAGCTGCTGATATATTAAACCTTGCAAACCGAATCCCTTTATGTGTTAACCTACATTTGTATGTTGTCTTCATTCCTTTTGGCTGTAATTATCCAAGTTCTCGTATCAGGATTAATCCAAGAGCTGCTGAATTATGCTTGTCATTTTTTTTTTCTCTGTAGCAAACTTTCTCTTCTTTATAAACAGGCTTGGCAGAATTTAATTCCAGTGTTTTATAATTTCAATGGATAATATTGATGAGTTTTTAAACTTTTTTCTATTTTTACCCATTTTAAATTTTCAGTTATGCAAAATTATGAATTGTAAGCAATTTTTATGTAAATGTTTGCAATTGTGGGGAATTCTGGGGGTGGTGGCAGACAGTGAGGTGGTCAGACGCTACCGTGTATACTCGTTCGTTAGCTCGTTGGTTTATAAGCCGATCCCCCCATGATGGATTAGTAAAAATAGCAAAAACTGTATGACCCTTTCATAAGCCGACCCTATATTTCAGGGGTTGGAAAACTTTGGCTCCCAACCCCTTCAGGGTAAGCCATTGGTGGATCGGGACGTTTTGTTTACCTGGAGCGTTCACAGGCATGGAGCCCCTCAACTCCCAGTGTCTACAGTTTGCCACAGCTCTCTTTGGCTGGGAACGGTGAACCGCAGCCACAGAGAGCTGAGGGGCTCCACGCCTGCAAACACTCCACATAAACAAAACAACAATATATTAGATATTCAGTTCAATGATTCCATAGAGTTTTAAATCATCAAATTTTGGTGTAGACCCGTTTATAAGCCGACCCCCGCTCTTTGATGCGTCACGTTTTTACCAAAAATATTTGGCTTATGAACAAGTATATACGGTAATTATTTAATGCTAGTAGATACTGAGACTCAAAGTTAAAGCTTTATACCCAAAAACAATTTTGTATATTTTGACATGCAATGTTGACAAAGTAAATATCCTTAAATCTCTAAACATTCTCAGGCAGCATTTTTCTTACTTTGCCGGTCGGTAAATTTTGATGATAGTCGATGGAAATATTGTTTTCATTGGTTTGCGTGT